ATTTGGGGGTGTGCCCCCACCCAGCAGGTAAGCCTGTGGGGAAGGGGTAGGGGGAAGGGAAGGGCCCTCAGGGGGTAGGGGGCAGATTGAGGACCCAGCAGTGAGGGAGTTAGCGGGGCACATGCAGGAGCAGGGGCTGGGGGGAGCAGGGCCCTGATCAGAATAGGTAGTGGGACAAGCAGAGGCCCGGGAGGGCATGTGGGGCGGAGTGGGGCAGGCTGGGGCCAGGGAAGAGCCAGGCTATTCCTGCATGGGTGTTTGGCTGGGCAGTGCTGCGCCGCACTCGAGCCAGGTGGCCCCCCGACCCTCTCCCAGTGCCGCCAATGCCTGCCCCGAGTGCAGTGCGGCCCAAGCCCCACTGGGAACGACCCAATGCAGCCTTCCATCCCCAGTCCGCAGTGGCAGCCCACCCCGCCTGGGCCCTTGAGGGTAAGGTTGTGCTGGGTTCTTTCCAGTGAGGTTTGGCTGCACTACATTCAGGGTGGGCAGTGGTGGCACTGGGAGGAGGTTGTTGGGGGTGGGGGGGTTACAGTGAATTTTGGGAGCCTGCAGCCCTTCCCATGGCCCCAACTCCCAGCACCGCTGCCCAGCCCAAGCACAACACCTGGGCAAGGAAGAGTCTGGCACTGCCCAGCCCCAGCCCGCCCTGCCCCACGTGTAGATCCAGGGGCACATGAACCCCATGTCCCCTCCCCTCCCCCCACCGGACGAGCCACTTGCAGCTCTGTCCTGCACCCCACTCCAGCTGTGCAGGTCTTGCCCATGCCCCACTCCCTCCCTCACCTCTGCTGCAGCTGCCAGCACTGCCCTGCATTTGGGAGGGACACGTGCCCTCCCATCTGTGCATGGCGGAGGCGGCTGCTGTTGAGGGCTGGGTGTTGCATCCCGAGCCCTGCTGGAGCTGGCCCGAGAGCAGCTCCACACCACATGCATCTGCTGCTGGGTGGGCAAGGGACAAGGTTCAGCCCAGCAGTAGGACACACATGGTGTTGAGCCGCTCCCAGGTCAGCTGCACTGGGCTCGGGGCGTAAGGCCCAGCCTGCAATGGCAGCCACCTCCACTGTGAACAACTGGGGGAGGCGGGCACGTGACCCACAGGGCCTCCACCAGGGTGCGCACAGCAGCAGGAGCCCCCCATGCCTCTGGACGAGCCACCTGGGATCAGTCCTCCCACTACCCACCCACTGGGGCCTCACTCACCCCTGCTCCTGCCTCTGCTGCACTCTGCCACCCTGGGGGCTGTGATCTGGCCCCGCCCCTTCCCTCTCCCACAGACTAACTTGCTGGCCTTGGGGGATGGGGGGGGGGGGGGGGGGCGCATGTGCATGCACACGCACACACAGCACCCCCCAGCCTCAGATCAACCTGAAGAGGTTCTGCGATCGACTGCTTGGTGACCACTGAAGTAGCTTATAGGCTGGTCAGTCTGAAGTGTCTCGATTCTGTAGCTGGTCTCAGTCCTTCCTGCTGTGATGGAACTGTCTGCTATTTTGCAAACACAAAAGGCGAACTTGGCGAGGGCCCCACCAGGAGAAGTTGGGCCCCACCAGGAAGTTCACCCTCCGTGAACTTCCTGTAGTGCCCTTGTTGCCAAGAAGTCGAATGGCATACTGGGCTGCATTGGTAGGTGTGTTGCCAGGAGGTCAAGGGAAGTGATTGTTCCCCTCTACTCAGCACTGGTGAGGCCACATCTGGAGTACTGTGTCCAGTTTTAGGCCCCTCACTACAGAAAGAATGTGGACAAATTGGAGAGAGCCAAGCAGAGGGCAATGAAAATAGTTAGGGGGCTGGGGCACAACTTTTGAGGAAAGACTGAGGAAATTGGGCTTATTTAGTCTGGGGGAAAAAAAAATTGAGGGGTGGGCAAATATGGCCCACAAAGCACTTTCATCCAGCCTGCAGCACCATGCAAAGAATTCCACCCCATCCAGCCCTTCTGCCCGCAAGGATGGGAGCAAGGCACCCATGTGTACCCCCCATCCCCCACAACATACCCTATTGTGCCTTGCTCCTACACTCATGGGCAAAGGCCCAGCCTGGTCAGCATGCAGCTTCCAAGGGGGGCTGCTGCTGCAGCCCCTGGGGACCTGCTCCACTTACCTAGAGCAAGCAGAAGGCCAGGGAGCAGGTAGGGAAGTGGTGGGGCAGGGCTGTAGCTGGGTGGGAGCGTGGGACTGGGGCTAGAGGCAGCAAAAAGCCCACACCCAGGGGGACAGATGCAGCACAGAGCTTGCTGGGCAGCATGTGGGTATGAGGGAGAGGGTGCAGATCCCCCCCCCCCC